TCCTGTATGCGCCCAGTCCGTCACCACCCATCTGAAGTCAGAGTAGAAGCGTGGCCCTGCCATCATGCTGCTGTCTAGGACAGCATCACATCGTCACATGTGACCATCCCTCCACCAATATTCCCAATGTAGTGTTATCGCCAATGCCCTTGAAATAATGGATACAGTATGACTCATCCCGTCACCGCGCCAGCCAAGAGAGGCTGAAAGTACGTCTTTCTCACCCCCTCCATCCTTCGAGAACTGGGATCGGTGCACGGAGACCTCCCCCGATGGTTTTGCCCCCCGTCCCGTCACAGCTCCATTTAAAAGAGACTGGTCATGTGGCCATGCCCTCACTCCCCTCCGAGGGGGATCAGTAGGCACCCGTCCCACCTCATCCCCCCCCGGGGAATGATATCGACATCAGCTCACCATTCATGTGGATGGAATGGCTGCAGCAGATGGGCGACCACCCTACTACACATCCTTTCCCAACAAAATGGCGGAGAAGCGAGGCGGCAGCGGCTACCACTATTGCCCTGCGACGGTAATGAAAAGCGTCAAGTCTACCATCACGTCTCCTGGGAGCCTCGAGGCCTTGTCGCCTCCTCTGCAGATTGAATGGCAGGAGTAGAAATACGATCATCCCACCACCACTTTTCCCATAAGTGGACATGGAAACATTGCGATGGTAGCGTTCCCGACCAATCCCACAAGCGTCTGCTTCACTCTCCGTTCACACCCACTCTCGCTTTGAGCACCAGCGCAAACCACGCCCGTCACCCGTTTATAGCGTGCTGACATGGCCTCATGCTTCGTGAGCCGTCTGCAAAACGGAGGATGGGATGGTCGCATCTCCAATGACCTGGCAGAGGCAAGCAGAGCCACCCAGAAGCATTCGTCAAAGACCGCCCCAGGGGTCATGGGGGCGGCGAGTGCCACCAACATCGCCGCAAGGACGTTGCCTGGGTGCCCGCGTGGGGTCGTGTGTGCATCTGGGCGGCGGTTCTCCACCGGAGTTCAAAACCCAGGTAGCAGGGCGCCAGAAGGGCGTGCGAAGGCCTCTCGAAGAAGCTCTGAAGGCTCCTGCCAAGAGCTTCCGAAGGAGCTTTTGGAGACCTTCCGGGCGGACGTATTGGGAAACGCTTAGACAAAGCCTCTCGGGGCACGCTGCAACTGCACACAAGCCGCGCCGGGGACTTTTCACGGAAGCCAAAACAAGCTCCGTGGCTACCCTACGACTCTGGCTTCGAAATCCTCTTAGCTCTCTACGAGTTATCTGGGAACAGGGGCCATCGTCGAGGCTCTCTTGAAAGTGTGGTCCGTCGAGGCCGCAGCCGTCGCGCCGCCCCGCACGCCCCTCCTGACGCGCGCGCGCACGTGGCTTGCTCTCGCGACGCCTCCCTTGCTTACCTGATGCTGTTCCTCGCCCCCCCGTGCTGCGCTGCCTGCGCGCTCGGCTGGCCGCCGGGGACCGCGTGGACGCCACGTACGGCGCCGCCGAGCAGAAGACGACGACGACGACGACGACGACGACGACGACGACGACGACGACGACGACGACGACGACGACGACGCCGACGCCGACGACGACGACGACGTCAACGCCGCCGGGGCCGGCCGTCCTTCGACAGGATGGGAGGGGCAGGCGGGCGGGCCACTGCGGAGGTCGAGCGAGGCTTGATCCTACCCAGCTTGCAGGCGAGGTCGCCCCGCTGCACATCCGAGTCTGGACGGACCCATCCGGGGGCTGAGCGACAGATCCCCAGGGCTCCAAAGCGGGTGGAGGAGAGGGGGGGGGTGATCAGGAGCAGGAGCATGGGCAGGAGGAGTTGGAGGAGGGAGAGGTGGGACGCAGAATGGGAATGAGGAGGAGGATGAGAAGGAGGAGGAGGAGCAAGAACAGACGGAACAGAAGGAGGTGGAGGTGGGAAGCGGAAGGATGAGGGATATGAGGAGGAGGAGAAGGAGGAGGACCAGCTAAAACCCAAGGCGCATCTACGATGTTGCAATAAACTCTTCGCAGGCCCCCACAGGAAATTATAATCATTGCGGGAATGCCAGGTTAACAAGCAACCGTCTGAGAATCCTCAACCGTGGCAGAACACAGCTCCTGGAACTTTAACGCCGCGAATCAACGTAACGTTGCGTCCTGACAGTCCTAAATCGTGCCAAGACACCGTTCCTGGGACTTCAACACCACGAATCAGTGTGACTGTTGCGTCCTGACAATCCGAAATCGCGCCAGAACGCCATTCCTGGGATTTCAACCGTACGAGCCCTTGAAACTACTGCAAGCGTTTAAACGAAAGTGACCGGCGCTACAGCGAGAACCACACTTTGAAAAAGACTCGCCCTCCATCCCTGGAGCTGCCGCAAACTGTGAGGACGAAAGTGCGCGGAGCTGAGGCGAGAAGACGAATGTGCGCAGCGCGACGGCAAGCCACAGTTTGAAGACGTCGCGCCCTCCATCCTTGAAGCTGCTTGCAGCCAATTAAAACAAACGTGCACTGCGCCA